TAGAATAAAAATTAACTATTTCACAGTCTAACAATTATTACTTTAACAAATACCTGATACTGTAATATAATTTAACTGATGATAATAATCTAATATGATATATCAAAAGAAACTGTCAATTGTACAACAATACCAGACATGCAACGACCAAAAAGAGATCCCAGATAGCACACGATGTCTTAAAGATATCCATTTTACGACCATTTTAGGTCTGAACGTCTTACGACCTTACCTGGACATCTTTACGATATTTTGTCCCGAACGTCGTTAAGACATCTAAAATTCATGTCTTTAAGGCATCTTTACAAGGTACAAAACGAACGTTGTAAAGACATCTGAAATTCATGTCTTTAAGGTATCTTTATAGGGTACGAAACGAACGTTGTAAAGACATCTGAAATTCATGACTTTAAGGCATCTTTACAGAGTAGGAAACGAACGTTGTCGAACACCCTGTATATACCGAATTGAGTAACCTCCTTCTTTTTCGAAGTCGGTTAAAAAGTCCATCTTCACTGCGGCGACCAACGTATTAATAAATTATTATTTACAATGTTTAAATAATTTGATCGATATTTCCTTGCATTTTGGACTCTGCAATTGGACACTTTTAGAAAATGGGGACTTATCGAGCGTCAATGGAACGCGTGCATACTCCATAATTGATTTGTTGCTGTTGCATAATTATTGACTATCTATGCAAGAGAGTAGAAGGTGCGTGCGACTACGAGGCGTCCCCAATAGGGAATTAGCAGGTGTCTACTGTAATTTTTCATTAGAAATAAGTAGATCTTGTAATGCTGCCAGTAAAAGACTATAACAAAATTTTACAATTAGTGAATTTTGTGCCCAGTAATTTTGATAAATACAGTTTTGTAATTTTTCATTTCATTAGATAAATAGATTCGAAATTTAATGTTTTAATCATATTATGTGTTAAAATATGGCACCATTATTAGTGTGTTAATAAAAAGATAAAATCATTTAGAACTTTAGAAAACACCAAGTTTTTACTCTTCAAGTATTTAATTGAAAAATGTTGTTTCCATAATTAACCGTTTCTTCGTTGCTGTTGGCGATATGAGGATTATAATAATAGTAATAATAAAGTAATAAACAATTGTTGGATATGATTTAAATGAAAGGAAGCTTTCCGTATAGTTTTTAATGGTAATTCTCATAACTGTAAAGGTATAAAACGTTTATTGCGAACTCGTGTGTTTAATAAATGCGAAGTTTGAAATCATTATCATACCGAGTTCTTTAAGTAGGTCAAAATTTCCGATATTGAATTTTATATCATTATGACGGATTAATTTAAGCCATGTCAGGAAAGTATTTAAGCAGGCCAACGTTCATAACAAATACGGATGTTTTCCTTTAAATGCAGTTTCATGTTTATTGTATATCCTCGATCAATAAATTCTAATTTAACGAAATCTTTAAATTGTCAGTAATATTGTTCAAAATATATTAATAATTATAAATAGCATTCGATTTTCGTAATTCATTGCTTTACAGATGTCATGCTTATTATTTATTTGTATTATCAACATTTAATTGTATAATTTGCAATTGACTTTATAGAAAGTTTATTTCTCATCTCGTGCAAAAGTGAAATAGTTTTCTCCAAAAGTTTGGATACATACATATACTAGTTAGAAAAAATCTCAAGTAGTTAGATACAAAAAGTATCAAAATAAATAACGGTACAGTAGAAATTGGATAAGCACCCGAAAATCGGAGAAGAAGCCGGGCATTTACGAAACGGAAGTGTAGATTTTTAATGATAGAAATGGCCCAGGCCGAGCCTTTGAATGCTGCCGAACTTAAACAAAAACAGACAGCGGAAGAGAAAGAGGTCCGAGGATCCTAATTTAACAACAAAACTTTTTTACTTTATATTTTTGTTAAATGAAACTTTCACCAATGTGATTGTCAGATGTTACTAATGTCGCAATCGTGTTTAGTGGAGGGGGTTTCGTCTCCCCGGACGCCTTGAGTTCGGACCGGGAGCGTTAGGTGGCGGCGAGAGGAACCGTGTTCTCACAAGCGCTCGCCCAGCATGCGGCTCGAATATATACAAGTTTCGAACCGCGGTATGATACGTATCTGGAGCAGGGGTCGTCTGTTGTCAGCCCCACTGACGAGTTTAAGAGACGATCCCGAGACGTAATACCGTTTGTTTTTTCGACTGCTACACTAATTAAAATAGGATTAAACATGATATAATTGGAACGCGACATATATGGACGAAAAAACAATTCGCATTGGGGATGTTTCCATGTACATACATAAAATAAGTAAATATGATCAAAAAATTATATCGTTGTTTGGTCCTTGTTTTTTAATCAGAAAAATCTCACAAATACATTAGTAAAAGTTTCATTTAAAAAAAATAAAAAATAAAAATTAGTATTGTTTCACCGATATTATCGGTGCTCTTGGATCAGGTTAAACTAATTCGCTCGCGGAGCATTCCTGTTCCGCAAGGGGTGTTCCGTACCGAAGAACACGTTTACGAGGATTTCGTTGGACAGTTTATGACAGTTTCGCGACGAAAGGCTACTTTTGAGTTTAAACGTTTCTGGAATTGCCTGCAATAGTAATTTATCTTTTTCGTACAATGGACTTAGTTAGAATTTTCAATTTGTGCTTCGTTCTCAATAGCTACAATTATGTCATAAACTCAGTCTTCCGAAGGATAAGTTCGAAAACGGTCAACTAGTGGTACTTGGCCTCCGAGGGTCAACCTGGAGAGAAAACCGCGGCGTTGCCGAAATTTCGAGGTCCTTGGGTACATCAGGTATCGCCTCACCCTCCCCTAGACAAAATTGCATTAAGGGCGCAAGGAAGGGCGGATGCGATACCAAGGGACACGCTGATTGGCAAATTAACTATCGCGTAATCAGCGTCTTTCCCCCGGACAAGAAAATTCGAGAAGGCGAAAAACGACGACGGAGCCTCATTCTCATTTTTATGTTTCGATCAGCGACAAAGATGCGAACTGATACTCTACAATCGGTCAAGTGTTCGTGACCGAGAAACAGTGGAAATTCAGACGTTTCAATTTTTAATTATTGTTTCAAAATTAATTTGGCGAAACAACGCGTCGCGACGGACTGCTAGCCATCGAGGCTATTCTGAGATTTACGACCTCGGAAGGACGCGTGAAATCCGGCAATCGTTCGCGACGCAGGGACGACCAGCGGTCAGTACGTCGCCAAGTAGGATCCCCCAAGTGGTGGGATGGTTACCGAGCATTTATCCAATGCATCTCACCGGATGCCTATCCAACTTATGCTATGTATGTATGTACTGTGCACCGATGACAAAATGTCCCATGAGAAGCACGCATTTGCATTTGTCTCATGGGACATCTTGTCATCGGTGCACTATACATACATACATATTCAGTAAATCTGTAACATGCATGGCTATCTGGCGGCTCGCGAACCATAACCCTACTTTTCTATTTCTCTGAACCATAATGGCCGATGTAAGTATGTAAGTAGTTACTTACACGGCGCGAGAAACCTCGTTTCGTGAACACCGTTAAAAGCATCTCGAAACTTGTATACGTGAATGTTTTGACACGGTTTAAGACATAACTCATATAGACAATTGTTTGTAACCTGTATTACACCTTTAATACTTAATTTCCTTTACAATCGCTTGGATTTCAAAGGAAATCTATTTACCTGAAAGAAAAACCTACTTATTTAAACGAAAACCTATCTTATTTTAATAAAACATAAATATGTACATAATATATGCATTTTAATCAGGAGGAAATTCCCTACATATTGACAAAATTTCATAATTTTTCGAGTTTCCGGGTTTGGGATCATTCCTTCTTATATTTGTTAGCGATACTTTTTAAAATAATGGTATTTCTACCTTTTTAAATAACCCTTTTGAATATATTGAAGTTTCGAAAATTTCTTTTTCGTCATTTTCTCTAGAGAAGCCTACTGTCACGCGACAGCTGCATTCTAATTACCTATTCAGGCGAGCTAATTAAAAAACTTACAAAATAAGTAATATAGACGCAATCACAAAATCTACCGAGATAAATTTAACAATAGAACCCGCAGTGAACCACTGTTTCCTACATGACTGCCTGTACAATTCTAAACAAACAATCCAGCAAAAATGAATACACCGTGTGCGGTGGGCTGAACTTTAGTTACAGTTATTGCATGTATGCTATTCGCAATTACAGTAACTGCAGCGGAAATTCGTTTATACAGCACACTGCTCACTACATAGTGCTTTACCGCTTGCATCAAAGGGTATTTTAATATTAATACCCTTCGCAGTTGTATTTAATATTCCTTTCGTAGTGCAAAATATTTCACTAAAACATATTTATTAAGCATTGCAGTAATTGTGTATTTCTATTAGTTAAATATTTATACTGTTCATAAAACAAAGGTTTTGACGCAAAACGGTATTAAATCAAGTTGAACTTACAAAACTTTCAGTAACGTTATAATTAAATCAAAGTTTCAGTTCGACGAAACAGTGAATAATTTCTTGGCTTCATTGAAGATGTTTCTGTACCGTATTTAATTAAGAAGTTATTGAATGCTGGTAAAAGTTTTAGATAACAATTCAATTCTTATAAAGGATAAAAAGGAATTGAAATATACATATATATTTATTAGCAGTACTAATATTAGCCTTGTATTTCTTTATTTGCTTTGAAATACCTTCTTTGTAGGATTTAGGGATTTGAAGCAGAAAAGGCATTCACAAAGAAGAAAGTACCTTAAGTAGTCTATATATTTTATTGTTCAGTCTTCTCAACGTCCAGCATATCTTATTGATAAAAAAAATTAATTCTATCCTTTTCATACTTTATACATATATTATAAATATAATATAATCACTTTACTCTGAAACGATTTAAATCTATTTTGCAGCAAAACATTAGCTATTGAAATGTAAATAACGATATAATGTTTGTAACTATAATTACAATTCTAATCGTTGTATTCATTATCAGTACCTTTTAAAATGAAATTGTACATTTAAGTTTAATTTAAAAGTCATGGTATTAAACTTCAACATGTTTAATCAAAAGTTCTAAATATTTAGCAGCATTGGCTAATGAAAATTCGTAAGTTAATGAAAAAAGTTTTAGCTTCAGTATATTAAGCGTAGCAACGGTCAGCAGCTTTTAAAGTAGTGTACCTACTATGAAGTTTTATTATGAGAAAATTTAACTAATGGTATCCTGATGTTTGCTGTTAACAGAGAAGGAGTAAATAACTTTTTTATTATGAATAACTTTTCTTTATAACTTATCTATTAAAAAGTTATTAATAAACATTTAATCTAATCTAATTCCAAACTGAAATGCTTTTATGTTAATTCTACATTTTAATATCGAAGTTGATGTATGCGCTTCATTCACAACACCACACCGGTGTTGTCAGTGTTATCAGTTGGTTTTGTTCGACCCTCACCAATAACTGTCATGGGCTGATCTAGCTTGGTTAGATTTGAGCATCTCCAACGTCCAGATTCGTGATATGCCGAACTGGTCGAGCTGCTCAAACGTCGGGTAGTCCGTGGCTGTCTCGAGTGAGAACTCCCATTTCTCCCTTGTGGTGCGGTCCACCCGTCTGCACACCTGGTGCACCAACATGCAGTCGCCGAGCATACTGGGATCGACAAGCTTGAGCAATGCATTTCGAGTCTCAATGGCAGTTGAGATGAGTTTGCTCAATAATCTGGAAGATTGATTTGAATTCATTGGCATCGACGTGAGCTTGTCCAGGTGAGCCTGAACGAGTTGTCTCTTGTTTCCATATCGGTTCTTGAGCTGTTCAATAGCCGGTTGCAGTAAGGCGCCAGTGAGTGGGAGGTTTGAGATCATCCGAGCTGGCTCTCCACGTAAACATCGCTTCAAGTAGTAAAATTTCTCCACATCCTTCAGATGTGAGGTGTTCAAAATCATTGAGCTGAACAGGTCGAAGAAGGACAGCCAATCTGTGTAATTTCCGGTGAATTTTGGCAATTCGAGGACCGGGAGCCGCGATTGAACTACCTGTACATCAGATTGTTGAGCCTGCAGCGTCGCATTCTTCTTTACTATGAGTGTTTTCACTTCTAAGCACACCAGCTGCATCTGGAGGTAGCAGCGGTCATTAAAGTATGGGTGGTCCAGCATTGAGGAGGGCCACACTACCTCAAAATGCGCATGTTCCTTATTAAAGGCTCGCTGCACCTCGTCCACTTGCTGCTTGACGTCGTCGAGCTCTTCTCTGGAGAGGCGTCCAGAGCTGTCTCGGGTTGTGTCGAGCATGCTCTGCACCGTGCGGAGTCGACCCTTCTGACTTTCAACCTTGAGCTACAGCTCAATCGGCAGTGTTGCTGGTGCGTTGGCTCGTGTCGCATGTGAGTGAGGTGATGGTGAGCAACGCGATGCCTCCTTTGAACTAGGCTCAGGTGAGGTGCGAGCTGACGAGTTTGGCTCTGGCACCTCCATGGTCTCCTGCGAGCTGTCTTGCATCTCAATCCGTTTTCCGGTCGTCTTCGACGGCTGCGCCATTGTGTCGGTAACTGGACAGGTGAACTGTACCTCCTTACCGACGGTTGATGTTGAGTTGCGGCTATGGGCTTCTTGAGCGCCACCTAGTGAGTGACGTAAATGAGAGTTTAATTTGAACGTGAAAGAGACAAAGATGGTTGAACAAAGAAAAACCGTTACGAACACGAAACAAAGATTCATGAGGCGCATAATGATCAATTTGCGAAATTAACGAAAACCGAGTCTAGCAAGTGCGCAATCCGACTCGAAGGATCAAATGTTCGAGATTGGTGTTAATCTCGGGGGAACTGCACTAGTAATAAAACTTTCACTTGAAGATCGGTTTCGAAAATTTGATTTATTCAAGTCGTTGGTGATAAAATTCACAAGCTCGTGATTTGAACTGTCGCAAATTAATCTGTCATGCCAAATGAATTACAATACAATGAGCAAAGTGCCGTTAATTGTATTAATACGGTCCGCTGTAGTGTAGATGCCCGCGAGTGTGTGCTGGCGCGGCACGTGGTTGGCGATGCACGTGTTCGTTGAGTAAATAATGTAGTGCGCTATACCTGGTGAGATCTTGCTGATCTGCACAGTGACTGAGGATCTTGCGATATGTCGAGCTGGTCTTAATCGGTGAACCAGTGCACTTGATTAAGCTTTCTGTTGAACACTTCTTCACGATTTGATGTTTCACAAGATAGTGCCGTCGGCGTGGGCCTTGTGCGCAAACGAGCGAGAAGACCCGTGACAGAGACAGGCCCTCCAAACTCCCCGAAAATTAGTGTTACGCCTCACTACTAGGATCGCTGGTGTCGCTACAAATACATATAAATGATATCGGTGAGGTACACACACAAGCACATGGTCCCTATATACGTTCTCCACTCCTCTGGTGCAGTCAGGTTTAACTATAAGAACAAAATTATATAATATTATACATACACTTCATGTAAGAAGTATTATTATACAGACTGTCCCACGCAACTGGAACAGGCTGTATCTCCTAAACGGTTGGGAATAGAAAAAGATGTTATAAGTAATAGTTAAATGGTATCGGACGGTGCATAATATGTAACTAATTTTATGCACTTTTGTGCATCGGTGCATCAGAAAAATGCAACTGCACTTTTTTTTAAAATGGAAACCTATGTTTTTGACTGCACCAGTCGATGCAGTTTCTTGTGCTCTACATAAAAGCACTAACATACTTATGCCCTAATCTTATTCGTTAGGAAGTTTTCGAAGCTAAAGCTTCTCTGAATTATTTCGGGCTCTCGGCAAGTGTTCCGGATTATTTACGTTATGTTCCATTACAATGTTTGTAAACATGAAGCGGCTGCTAATACTAGTCACTGTAAGATTAAGAATTCCATGAGTAACAATTCACTACCCGTGTGCGATCGTTTGCCGACCCGATTTTATATCGATTTTAGCTTCGATAACTTCCTAACGAATAAGTTTAGGGCATAAGTATGTTAGTACTTTTATGTAGAGCACCAGAAACTGCATCGACTGGTGCAGTCAAAAACATAGGTTTCCATTAAAAAAAAAAAGTGCTGTTGCATTTTTCTGATGCACCGATGCATAAAAATGCATAAAATTAATTGCATATTATGCACCGTCCGATACCATTTAACTATTACTTATAACATCTTCTTCTATTCCCAACCGTTTAGGAGGTACAGCCTGTTCCAGTTGCGTGGGACACCCTGTATATACTCAGTGTATTAATACCATGTTAATGATTTTATACATATATTGTATATGCAAACTGAATACTTACAATCTTCCTCTTTTTCTTCTTTTCATTTGCATCCAGCTGTCTTGTTGCTCTATTTTAATAGAGGTAGTCTCTGACACTGTAATAAATATTTTCATTAACAATTATTTACATATGCTATAAAAAGTATACATAAGAGTAATTACCAAATAAGTTCAGTGTTGGAACTGCTGATGTTGTTAATCTTTTCTTCATGAAGTATTTTTCTTTAAAGTAGCTACTACAGATCACTCGGAATTTCTTTGGGTTGTCACATACTTCCACCCACTGTGCCATCCTCTTCTTATCCTTTCTCTTTAAGGGGAAGGAGAACATCCTGCTGTTTTCGTTAATACACCCTCTGATGATGCATATTTTCTTCCTCTTTCTTTAAAGATACATTTTAATAATTAAAATTAAATATATTACTAAAATAGCAATGTAAACAGTTATGTTTCCAGTGACAATTTTAAAAAATTCTGTACTTACTTAATTTCTATCTTCTCCTCCTGTTACTGCATCTCATCAGCAGAAGTTATTGAAAAACCTAAACACCTAGAAAAAACTTTAAAAAATATCTTTTTCAATAATAATAATAGTAATAATAATAGTAATAATTATAATAACGGAATTCACGAACCTGGAAATTCAGTCACCTACGCTGCCACCATCACACCATGTGCAGCTATGTGCACCATATTTCTTTTGTCTCTTTAAATTTTGAAACAATTGAAAAACGCGGCGACAAATTTCGCGGGAACATGATGTCACGATATCTTTAGTTGTGTGTTAAAATCAGTGATACAAGCTATGCATGGAGAGAAGTGACATCAGCGCCTCCTGGTAGTGAGGCGTAAACCTAAAATTTGCATCAAAATCACAAGAGTGGAGCTTGGAGGTCAACGGTCTTAGCCACTTAGGCCATACCGGTACCCGTAAGATCACCGAAGTCAAAAGTGGGCACGGTTTCGCCAATAGATGGGTTACCGTGTGTTGTTGACAGCGATACACACACGCACCATACACGGACACACACACACATAATGGGACTAAAAAAAGTATGGAGTATAGAAAAGTAAAAGTGTGGAGTGATAAACTCACGGAATTAAAAGTACGGAAAATGTAAGACAAAGAAAAAATTCAAAAGAAATGCGCGGGGTTTGGGGTTGGCAGAGCTGTCTAACACGTGTTAACGGTAACAGAAGATTGCTTCGATACCAAGAATTGTACCCCTTTGCTTACTTTACTCTGAATAACCCTTGTAGCAGCAGTACTTGCAAGTAAACTAAACTCGGGTAAAACTAAATATTATGACTGACAGAGACTTCAAAAATATAATCAAAAACAATATCAACAACATTTGGAGTACACAATGGATAAACGGTAAAAAAACTTGCTCTGCATAATGCAAGGAAAAACACCCACGAACGCAGCCTAGCCTAATTTAATAGGAAAGACCAGATCTTAATAACAAGGTTTCGAATAGGACATACATTGCTCACGCACTACCTAATTTGCTCACCTAATTGCAACAAGTGCGGTCAAGCTGGACTCAAAGCACGCTCCTTGATTCAATAAAGCATCGCGGTCCAACAAATAAAAATTTTTATTAACGATAATATACCTTGAATGAATTCCTCAAATATCGATTCATCATAAAAAAATAAGTTTTTCATAAATAAAATAAGTTTAATTATATTATTAAACATAAATTTAATTAAATTAATAGAAGTATATGACCCTTATTCAAAATCTGACAGACACACAAAAGCCGTGACATAAGCACACTCAATGGAGGGTGCTAAAAACTACAAGACCAGAATATGAACAGTGCAGGAACCCAATTACTGTGAATCATATATTAATAGATTGTCCAAAATTTCACAACTAATCTCGACAAGAAGACAATTGGTGAAATGTTAAGTATCTTTTCACAGTGCAAAAATGTAATCAAATTTATTGATTCCATTAACGTTAGACATTTATTGTTAACTGTGCAATGTAACCGTTAACTATGTATTTATTGGATATATGTATGTGTGGTATGTAATAGTCGCTAATACCCAGGTGGGGGATGCGATTTAAAATAATAAAATTTAAAAAAACCTTGTATACCAACGACTAGTTAAAAAACTTTTATCGTTATTAAATCTTTACGTATTTCGCAAATAATACACACTCTTATTTGCCATGACCTTTCGATGTCTTAAACACAATGAATACCTAATAACATCAGTACCATTCGACTACAAATAACAGGATAACTCCTTTGATTATAGGGATCAAACCAGATGCCAGTAATGATTTACATAGTCCTGGCAGGGCTGGCAGCGATGGCAAGCATCAGCATCGTTCTCATGTTCTACGTGCAGCGAAAGGCCATAAGACGTCAGCGTCAAAGCGTAGAGGAACCAGAAGTGGAGGGTCACGAGGAAGACAAATCGACCTTGTTGGGCAGTGAGAGTCAGGAAACCGAGGAGAAGGAGTAATCGTGATTCTACAACAGGGAAACCACGTAGCTCGTAAGACTCGCATATTTTTACAACACGCGCATCAGTTAGGTTAGGTACCTCGCGTCAAAGACCGAAGGGATGATTATGAAGGCGTTGGACACACCGAATAACATTTGTTTGATCGAATACTAGAGGCATCAGTTATGGAATTGACAAATGATTATCATTGATTACATTTGCTTACACACTTATTGTTTCTTTATGAAATAATACAAGTTAAGATGGCATATGCGTACACTTGACATTTCTCTTAGCTCTTAACGTGTAACGAGTAACACGATTATTACTTTTGATACAAAATGTTGTTAATAATTAAAGCTGGATATCGTTGACAATTTGCTTATTGCGATTCACGAGAATCTTAAGAAAAAAATTTTAATTCATATGATACGGAATTTAATAATTCTACGAGACGGTTATTAAAATAATTGAAGTCCAAGATCTCTCGTCTATAAGAATATTTGCAAAACTAGGGGGTCCTAGGCTAGGGACGCTCAGCAAGTAATAAGCCGAGCGCCCGCCGATGCCCGGATTTGCACGCGAGCATTGTTACGGGCTCGAAGTACGCCCTTATCTCGGACAAATCGTTGGGAGTGGTGGGGTACTTCCCATTCCCCAAGTTTCCCGAGGTCATACAGCTGAATGCCTTTCACGTCTCAATCTGATTTACAACTCTCATATGTCCACATCAAAGCATCGCGTATAGGACAAGGAACGCACTGGATGTCCGTGTAAACTTTACGGTGTCACGTGATATCGTCTGCCCTTCGTAACACGTGCTCGTAGACCTATCGTTGCGATGATGCCCTCTCCCGCCATGGATCGATAATCGCAGTAGTATAGGCAGCTATGTCCGTGACAAGTCCGACTGCACTCAGGCGGTCGTACGGTGACCTGCATGAGCGTGCCTGGCCTAGGCGAATAATCGAGCTGATCTCTTGAATTGATAGTAAGCACGTTTTTGTGTCCCTTTAAATAGAATTTCTCGGCCACAAGGATTTTTTTTCTTTGCAAATACGACTGAAACGTATGGTGATACGATTAACATTTTATTTCGCACTTAGGTTCTTTTGCACAATAATAATGATTTATAATTATATAAATGAGTGATATCTCATTAAATAGGTGACAGATTTTTTTGAGAATTCATTTGTCATCCGAATTTGGGTGACATGACAATCAGTGTTAAAAATAATAAATTAGATGTGTTGACGCATCGTAGTCCGATCGATTTTCTACTAATAGTCTTTTGTCAAAAGTAATAGAATTATATTGTTTTTAATAATTTTATAAAAAAGGTATAAACTTATTATATGTTTCTTATTTGAAATTATCGATTTCCTCCTAACGAGAGTGCTTGAAACACTTCTGGTCGTTTAAATAATGTGGCATTTAATAACATTACTTTTTAATAATTTTTTGCATCGGAACAGCGTTCGTCCATATCGTTTGGTATTTTTATAAAATTGGATAGTTTACATATGCAATTAAATATTCTTATGCAGACCGAATAAGAGACATAATTTAGAGTGGAATATTTTCATGGAAATTAAATTTGAATTTTAGATGGGAAAAACTTTAAAAATTATGAAAAATGGCACGGCTAATTTATTAAAAATGTTGAAACTTTTAGTCCAATTAAAAAAAGAATTCAATTTGAATTTAATTTTATATTGTATATTATTTTCTTATTTTATACTCTGGTTTAAAAACTGATAGATTTAATTTTAGTTGAATTTTATAATAGACGAAGGGTTAAGGGTCAACACGAGCAATGGCCTAAGTCTGAACCGATGTTCTCGACTCTCCTGCATAGGAAGACAAGGAGATCGCGATATTCAAGACACGTTAATATAAAACGGCACGTCTGCGATTTAGTAATTCAAAGATTTTAAGGCAAAGAGGCAATATTTTTTAATGATTCTTTTTTAAAAATATTCCTTGTATAATTATACAGCAGTGTGTAGAGCCCAATATTGCAATTTGGCTTTGAACCTTATAAAAAATGCGTTTTTATAAAAGAAATTTTTTTACACTTTTTCCCAAAAAGCGCTCTGTACTGGGTTCAGTATATTCTACCTAAATATGAATATCATAATCATTACACGTTTCTTTCGGAATTGGGTCGGGAAAATGTGAATTACTTTTTCGCGTTTCATTAGTACTTCGCTATAGGTGCTAGTGTCACTCCTGTTGACCATTAAATAATAATGAAATAAATGAAACACAAGATATAGTAAAATCCGGAACTACCTTGTTAACGTGAAATTCTGAGGAACTTTATTAATGTTAAATGTTCGCACTAATGTCAACGTACATATTTGATTTATTAGAGAAGATGAATATTAATTTATGTACACATCCATTTGATATAAATGATGAATTAGAGTTCGTCAAATTATTCAAAATTATACGAAAGTGCTACACTCAACGTTAAATATCGCATTATAATATAATGAAACGTGTTTTCTACATTATGTGACATTATACGTGACATAATCAATGAAAACTATTACACGCACCAACCAAGCGTTATTGAACGTTATTAGCAGTCATGTTTTACATCTGCATACTTTACAATACATTGGTTAATGTAAAATGATTTTCTTTTATTACAAACGCGAAAAATCATAAATCAATTTTTGTGTGACGAAGAGGTAAGGGGAAAAAAGTTGATTGACATTTTATACTTTATGAATATAAGAAAATAGACTTTTAGAAATAAATGTTTAAGAAATGTTTGTGAATAATATTAATTTAAAATATGAGTATGTAATTATAAGTGGAAATTCTTTATTTAAAATTATATGATCCTATTTATTTTAAAAAACAAGTTCAAGATTACAGAAAATTTATTTGAAAATTGTTAAAAATAAGAAAGTTGTTCCTCAAATATCACGAGTTCTTTAAGTTATTATTATGCTCCACTTATTAACAGCTCTTCTGGTAATGTACAAGTGTGTATGCAGTTCAGAGATTAAGAATTCCATATTTTAAAAGAATAAATTTCAAGAAGGCTTGAAATTATAATACTGATTTTAGCATTTAACGTTGTTCATGATTTTTGAAAATTTAAAAAGTTTTACAGGTTCAGATTTTTACAAAAATAACATTTTTAACATTTGGCTAACGATTCATTTAGTTAAGATCATGAGAGCGTTATAAACATATCAATATTTAAAATGTAGGCAATTAACTTTATTTTTTGTCAGGTAAAACAGTTCTTTCTAGGAAGGCGGACCGATGGGGTGCGGTTATAATTATTAAACGATTCACTTTCGCGAAGGATCTGGAGAGTTCCTTTATTTTAATTATATCACCTTTCTTCGCTCGTCAACTAATGAGTGTATGATCGTCGATGATCTATATCCGTCTGATCTATTCCTTAAATCTCTCGTCCTCGCTCACGGCCGGAGGGGGGCACCTGAGAGAGGGAAAAGAGAGGGGGGGAGACACCGCGACAGTAGACTAATTTACCTACAAAAAAAACTTTTCAATGGTATGTTATTAATTTTTTAGTAAATTAATAATAAAAAGTAAGTCTGCTCGCGGGGGTCACTCTATATTTTACTCGCAATACACAAAATTCGTTGGGCGCTAGCCACTCGCTGTGGCAATCTAAAAGTGAAGGAAAAGGGTAGAATCGGGGTCTTTACTGGGGATGGGTTGCGCGGCTCAACCGGGGTCTACCGTAACAATCGCTACGCAGGGGAGTTCGCAGGGAGGATTGTCGGGGGAGGGGAATCTCAAGGGTCGGGAAGGTTCATTGGAAGTTCTTTACGTTACGCGTTGAGAAATGAATTCAGAAAGGAATCGTAGGGGTGGGAAAAGGGTTTCGCGAAGGCGGGGAATACCGGACGAAAAAGCGCATACGCTGACGCGAACGCGAACGTGAGGATGCCGTTGTCGACTCTCAAACTCTTACAAATTTTTATGCGAAAGGGGCTTACCCAAAACGCCTCACACACTGTACACTCAACTCTGCGCACCCAGTACTCGCTTTCCGTAGTTTCCAAAAATCGCTAATCGCTTTCCAAATCTCTATATCGCTTTCTGTGACGATCAAGGCTAATTGACGGCTCGTCGCCGCAGCAACGACGACGAGCCCGTCGCGGGATATTTTGGAGAGGGGATGGGGTAGAATTGGGACCTCTTCCGGGACTAGGAATGATCGATTATCGATCTGCCGGTAATAGGGATCGATGGGGCGGATGGAGGTTCGGCGACGACGGCTGCGGGCTGTGTTCTTCGGGCTCGGCGACAGAGGGCTCTATAAGTCGCTTTTGGCTATCTTTACAGGGCTGGTGGACTTCGGTTAGTTTTCCGGGTTGCTCCCTTTCTGGGTAGGGATGATGTTGCTGTCGCCGGCCTCGAAGCTCCGTTGGCAGCGTTTTGGGGTTTTCTTTGTCGCCTCCATCGGCCCCGTTACCGGCGGGTGGGAAAAGGGGTTAGGTGTGGGAAGGGTTATGGGTCGTTTTGATGTTGGAGCGGGAGGTAAGAGAAGCGCAGCGATTCTAACGGGGGGGCACACGTGACACCACGTTACAGTACACATATCAGAGGTCACTGAATTGTGTGTAAAAAAGAAACATAATTTTTGTACAGCTAAAGCTGTACAAATGTTATGTTATATAATACCTATATTATTATAAAATTATTCCATGAATCAATTACAAAAACAGACAAAAAAATTATAACAGTCCACTTATCTGAATACAAGTTAAATATGAAGTCAAATCAAAAATGATAATTATATAATAAATATTTATTATTTACAAAATTTAATTCTGAAAATCAAGTGCTCTCGTAAACTTGCATTTCAATTTTTCAATTACATTTTGTTTTTTCAAAGACAAAAGACTAATAAAAAATTATGAAATTCATCGATCTCGTTAGGTCTAAAGCAGGCATGGGCAGCTATGTAGTAATAAACGGAACAGGAGCGCTCCGGAGCTTGGCGAAGCTCTAAGCGGAGCGCGAACCGAATTGAGCAGCGGAGAGTGTATCCCCACTCCGCCAGTATCTCGAGGTTAAGCAGTCAAAGCATGCATGTGTGACGTTCTCTGTCGAACGCCACACATTCGTATCACCACGACCGCCGCAGCACGATTTCCCCTACAACAGCGTCTCCCCGCTACCTCGAAAGAGCTAACAAGTAGAGTGAATCGCGCTCCCAAACAGTGTCGATGTCAGACGCGCTCTTTGAGCTGGTTTCGTGCCCATGCCTGGCTAAAGTCTAAACCTAAACCCTCTTTGCAGGGGGCCCTGTTATAAAGGCTCTCTGAATGAATTTTTTCTACTGTTGCTGTCGTTCTTTATGATTAAATGTTATTTAATTTTATTCAAATCTAAATTTTTTAATTAAGTATGTCAATCAAGAAGGCTCTCGAAAAGGTTTGATAGCCATGGAGCCTTAGAAATCTTAATTCAATTCTGACCGGACTACATGACGTTTAACAATTTCAAAAAGTTGTAATCAATTTTGAATGAGCTTAATTGAAGTTGTCATAAAAGTTTTAAAAACAGCGTTTCAACGAATATTTCTACGACAAGAGGCATCTTTTGATTAACAGTATGTAAATATTTATTAATTGTTCTATTATAGTAAACTGCACGAAACTTGAATCATTAAATGTCAGAAAATTCCAATGGTTTTTCATAACCGCGCATATTTTTGTACGTGTTAATAGATGTAGATTTATTGAAGAGTATCCAAATTTTTTGTTAGACGTATGAAAACTATAATAAATAAACGAAAAGGGAACTTGTGTTAATTTGGTGACTGTTTTGAGAAACAAGAAATAAATGTAAAAAGAATTGCTAAAAACAATAAAATCTATATTAATGTATTTATCCAATTTGTTAATTTTATTTTATTAACAGACAGTATAATGTCTTTATATAACAGTATAAAAAAAAAAGAAAAGAATTTTTTTGTACCATTCATATTTAACCAATGACAGTATATTTCTATGAATCAATTGAAACAATTAAACTTATGAGATATTAAATACCTGTGTTCTCGATAATTCTCATTAACATGTTGGCTGTTATGGAATCAACCAACAGTATAATAAATTTTATAATACAATTACAATTACAAAGCAGTATTATGGATTAGGATTTCGAAGCTTCCACCTCTTGGTTTATTATAATTAATGCTATTGAAGCCTGCGGCTGTAAGCCGTATTAAATAGGACAATATTCCCTGTTATATGTAGAGTTAACACATGTCAATTTTTAATGAAATTTTAGTATGATATTCAATAGTACACTCGCGATCAAATCAGGCTTCTCCAGGGCAAATACTGATGCTTCGGCTTTTCGCTCTTCCTCAGACCCCCGTCCTTCTCTGTAGGCATCGCCGAGGAGAACGACGATATAGGAGAGAAAGCCCACCTTCTATAGAGGAATGAGGGGCGGCATGGCCACTGCGGGTAAATTGACTTGCAGGTAAAGGGTATAGCAGGATAAGATGGTCAAAAATGCCCTTGAGCACGTAAACTTTTTCAAAACGAAGGGGGAGGGGGAATTCAATTTTGCAAAAAGGATGATTTAAAAAAAAAACTTACACGCAGCTTTATAGACCTCAAGAAACGGTATAACTTTTATTTCAACTATTTTTTTATCTTTTGTTGTTTACGATTTATAAGCACGTATATAGAAAGGGCGGTTCAGATAAAAGGGTTAATATCTCCCTCAAAGTGAAAAACAGGCACCAACGAATTACAGTTATCTTCATGAACATGTTTAATAAATATTTATGCAAAGTTTCATAAAAATCGGAGTGTATCGGTTCCCGATGTTCCTTTGTCATTTCGACTACACGGATTTCTGAGTATTTCTCATGTATATTATAAAGTATAAAATGATCAAAATATTTACCCTTATTTCTTGGGTCCTTCGTTCCATATTTGATAATTTATAATTTATAATTTAAAATGTAAAATTAAAAATTTTTATAATTAAGGTTTAGGTAGATTGAAATCGTTTATCATCAAAATGTAAAATTAACCCTTTAAGTGTGCACTCGTATCTTTTAAATAATTTTACAATATGTTCAAATTATGAATTCTTGTTTCATTTAAATTTTATTAGCAAAACGAATTTTTTTGTCTCCATGTCAAGTATATTCGACATAAACCTCAAAAAGATTAAAAATGATGTTTTATTTTCGTTACGATTCAGTCAAAAACACAAAGGCAACAGCTTATTTAAATGTAAAATAATTATATTACATGATTGAAATAAGAAGAATAAAATCTTTTGTGTATGTACACCTAATACATAAACATGCAACCTTTAAAGGGACATAAATGTCAATGATTATAGAGAATGCTTAACAGCAAAGGGTAGTCTCTCTAATTGGGACATGATATTTTCTAAACTTTCTATGATGTATATACTGCCCTTTTATGTCTGGTTGTAAAATGTTATGCACTTGTGTAAATATCACTAAACAGAGAATATTTTAATAGAGAACCTTTTGAAATCATTTCACAGTAACACAAACACTATAAATTGATTTGAATAATATGAATTTTTGAAATTGATTTAATTATAATATTATGTTTAATTCACTTAATTTCTTGCGTTTTCTATTTTTTACAGCTTGGGTTTTCAACTTAAAAATCTGAAAAAGTTCTATAACATGTGTCTTGTAAAGTAGATGTTTCTGATGTTTTAAACAATTTTTCATGTGTTAAGATGGGAAAAATTGAGCAAAAACGTGGTTTAATTTTTACCCATTAGTACTCCCCAGTCAAGACACAAAGTTGAAACTTGATACAAACTCTTTTTAAATATCGGAGACTTTCGTTATATTACCGCCAACGGGACTATAAGAGCAGAAAAGTCAAGCTTCCGAGTTCTCATTTGGAAACGGGAAGCGAGATAGAAATCTATCATTTTCATAGACTATGATGGTGGAAGGGTGGCAGTAGTATGCTTTAAAATGTGACTTATCGCAAGTCGAATTTGACTTCGGCTGCCACTTTTGACCATCTTATCCGACTATACACTGAATACCGTGGGAGTTATTAGTGACCTATAGCAGATTAGATATATAATATTTGAGCAATTGAAAAAAAAACAGTACAGAAATATCATTTTGATAACAAATTGAAAATTAACACTTCTTAACCTTCATAATATACCTAATTAAAGTTTCTTCTTGCTGTTTCTTATATTGTATTTTAAAAAAAGTCAAGTTTAATTAAGTTTAATTCCTGAACGGCGTACCATAAGGAGACCCCTAATCTTAATATACTTTTATTTTTTATATTATTTTCAAACTCTGGATTTTACACTGTAAAATTTATTTTAAACATTATTTTTCCACAATATAAAACTATTCTGTTTAAAAATTATATATTTAACTTCCGTTAATACTGTAGCATACAGTTTGTAAGTTTGGGTGATGATTGTGACTCCATTTTTCAAGGGTTTAAATAAATTTGCAATACATCACTTTGCACGAATTGTTTTAAAACATAGCACTAATAAAAATCAGGTATTATGTTTTTTATAATGCTTGAATGCCTGAACTGAAGTGTTAATATATTTATTGATATCTTATTCTATTTTATTAATTGAATTACAATGTCAAATTCTCTCTTACATGTAAATAGCAGTCATACATATGTATATTAAATTTTAAGCACGAACTGTCCTCTGCATTAAAAGTGAATGGCTTCTTATTTCATGTATGGGTCAGGAGACTGCAAATGTGTTAATCCTTTGTCGCATGATTTTTGTTTATTTTGAGGAAAACAAAACAGTTTTAAACAATACAAACTATTTTTTTATTTCAAATATAATATTAAAATTCTCAAAATTATATAAAACAAAATTTATAACTCAAAAATTTTATGCGACAGGCTTTAGTTAAGAATAATCACAATCTTGTCCTTTAATTTTACAAGTAATACAGTTGAAAGCTTTTCAGAAAAAGATTTAAATCTTTAAGTAAAAGTATTACTGTAAGTTGGATCATATTAAAGCTGCTCAGCAAGTGGCTACCAATTTTATTTATTTATTTCTTTTCTTCCAAAATATCGCGTATCAAAATGGAATTAAAAGGGCAGTTGATGCTGATAAAGTTAAAATTAGATTTTCATCGATAAGCAGTTGTCCTTATGTAATGAAGTGGGACGTTATTTTAGCGAAAACGTCAAATGCACACGGATTGCGAAACAACGATAACGATTTGACCCAACCTTTTCAACTTTTTATCGTAATAACTTCGAATCGATAAAAATAGTCAAAGAATTTTTATATATTTCGCTAATGAGCTTCAACTTTATTCGATTCGACGGTGAAGCTGCAGCTACTTATCGACGACCTGGCTGATTGGAGAAATAAATGAGGAAATTTCCGTAATTTTATACAAAACAGTACAAACGCAGGTTTCCTAATAAATGGTAAATGGAATTTTAATATTACGTTCCTGAATAAATTATAAATGAATTCACAGTTTAATTATGAATTTACAATTAAGGTGGTTGTATTATGAATTTTATAATAAAATTGTTTTGAAATTTAACTCGATTTAACTGAAGGGTTCATGGAAAATAGAAGAATTTTAAGTTAAGGGTAAACATTTTGCTTTTTCGTTATACATTATAATTTTTTATAATTACTGTAGACCAGTAGTAGTCTGATGACTGGTATACCAGTAGTAGTCGGTGTCCCATAATTTAATGCCTAATTGACAACTAAGATTCAAAAATAATGCAATTTTTACTTTCTTTATACGTGCAGTCACTTAGCAGTGACTATAAGTCATTTTAATTACACTTACACTCACAATCAAATCAGATTTCCCTAGAGAAAGTAGCAATATAGGGTAAGCAGGAGTTTTGATAATACTAATATTAAGAATAATTTAGAAAAAAGATAATATAATTTTTCATTATTACATATTATAAAATTTAGTATCTACTTGAACAGTTCGAATAACAAAGTAAATATAAACTCAAATTATTCCGCGTGAACGTTTATACGCAAGTGGTGGGGGATCACAGCCGGACACAAAGGAACTGGCGAGACCTGAACTCCTTGACCGCACCAAGAAGAGGTCCGCGTTCACACACAGAGTCGTCTTGGCCCCGGTAGGTCCCCGCTGGCGTGTGACAATGCGGACCTCTTCATGGTGCGATCAAGGAGTACATTGTCGCCAGTGTTCCTTTGTGTCCGGCTGCGAGAGAATCACCCTGTATATAAGGCCCTTTTCGCTACATCAGGCCTGTCTAACTGCTATATAGAAGCGAAAGTGCCACTGCTCTCACTCTTACCGCTTCAGACTTCCCCCACCATCCAGTAGTGTCAGTAGTGGGGCAGCGGTTTCTAGCAGCTAGGACTAGGAATACGCGTCAAATATTGGAAAAGTCGGGAAACCAACTGGAAGAGTGGGGGGAGCCGAGCGCGAGCTATATGGTAGGGGAAGGAGCCACGACTGGCCCGCGGGCCGCAGGTTAGACAGGCCTGCGTTAAATTGTCATTTACCCTGGGGAGACCTACGAAGAATGACGGATAAAGGGACATCACCACTTTCTCCGGTGAAGCCTGATTTGATCGCGAGTGTACAAAACAGCGATCTTAACAATTGGTAAATAGCTAGTTATAAAAGGCCCAAATAGAAGCATACGGAAAAATATTACACCCAAAATTTGTTAAAGATTGAGATCCTCTCTTTTTTTCATGGACCTTTTCCATTGATGAAATTTCAAACAAGATTAAGTAGCAAAATGAAGATGATTGCATTTTAAATTACAACATTTAATATGTACAGTATAACTTGGAACTGTGAAATTTCGCAATGTTCGAATTGTAGAATTTTAGAATCTTAAAGTTTTAAAATGACGAGGGGGGCAGTCTCCTATCTATTTACACTAATGATGATACACCCCCCTTAACAGTTACTGCACTAAAAAAATACTGTTGCTGCTTCTACAGAATCTTTTTTTCACATAAGGATAGATTGAATTTTAAAATCAGTTCGGTGTACTCACTTATATTAACACTTTGAGTGTCATATATCATTCACATGTGGATGACGCCTGAATTTTCATGGAAATCCACTACTCATTTTATTAGGAATTCTTTGGCTTACCTAATTTGAAATGTTCGTATTGGGTACTTAAAATTATGGATAAGAGACATAATGAAATATTGTGAAAATAATAAATAAAATAATAAATTTTAAATACATAACTTCAGCATGGATTGAAAAATTGAATAGGATTGTTGAATTATAAATTTACAGACATGGTGAAATATAGATATATAGATACTTAATTCAACTTTTCTGCTTTTATCCAAATTAATCGTGTTTGTTATTCTTTTATTTTTATCACTCATTAATTAAATTGTATAATTTCATATTTACCCAAAATTTTAATTACAAATTATAAATATTTCAGTATGCTACGATTTAAAATTCATTATTGTTTTCCAATCACATCTTTCATTACATGTTTATTTAAAATTGCAATAAGTTTATAAATATTCACCAGAAAATTTAAATTATATATATTTGATGGAAATAAATGTTTCAAAATAAATGAATGGTCATTTATAATTCACATAAATTACTAAGGAAATTACCAAATGATTACACACATTATTTCGACGGATTTGTTATTAATGTTTTAAAATTTTCTACAAATTCGGTAACAAGTTAATCCTTACGTTTTAAAAAATTTTTATAGTATTTAATTAATTTTTTCATTCTCTTCGTATATTCGTGTCTTTTCAGTTGCTTTCTTTCTAATTTTATTTATTTTAGTTATTTCTCTCTAAATAAAATCTAGCAATTTTCATAAAATATTTAGATTTTTAAATTTATTTTCGTATTTTGTATTTTTTATGTTAGCTACAGTTTGTTTTACCTTTTCGCTAAACTAATATTTAATCCAGTATGGAAATGTTTTCAGTTACTGTGGACAATCTTATTAATGGAAAATAAACATTTACGTTTCAATTTTGTTCGACAACAGCCCATCTTGAAATTAAAACCAACAGATTTTAAATTAACTTCATCAAATATCGGAAGTTTGAAAGTGTATTATTTACCTAATAATTCAGTGCTAAAATCATTTCCTTTCGTTAAAATAATGAAATGGCAAATACAGAACATGATAACCACCTCTGTGTATAAAGATACAAACACATCAAGCTAATAAAAATTGTTTAATTTTTAATTTTTTATAATAAAAGTAATCGATCTTTTTCAATCATCTTTTAAATCAAATTCTTTTTCAATTACACCTTTGTAAGTACACAGTTAATGTTACAAATTTGTACACAAAAAGAAAGTTAAAATATGCCATATTAGGCATTTACAGGTTAAACTTTTAATTTGATTGATTAACTAATATTTGCAATTAAACAAAATAATCGTCAAGAACCGTTATTGTTTTAATTGATTCAATAAATATAACTGAAAACTTTAAAAATCTTACAAAGAATATTCTTTTGTTTTATTATTTTAGAAATAAAAGATATATTTTGTGTGCATAAAAAATCCATTGGAAGACTGCACATTGTTTCAAGCCTCGTGTTTGCGAACTAGTAATCATATTTTAATAAATATTTTGACAGTTTCAACATTGTGGAATTACAACATAACCTGGTTGTCATATCTGTAACCTAGAAACTCTTTATTTATCATATTATAATTAATTGGATTCTGTCATAAGTTATGTTGCATATTAATAGCAACAAAAAAAAAGCATTTTAATAATTAACATGTTGATTGTCGTGGAGATCACCAGTAACGGTATTACAGATTAGGTATACTTGTATAATTAAAAGATAACGGTAGAAAAATATTATAGTACTCGTCCGCTTAATGCTTGCATCGGGGTTTTAGCGGCCTAAATTTCCAGAAACCGAGCATTAAGCGGACAGCCAGTGATACGCGTGCTCTCTCTGAAGCTCGTTCGTTCGCTTGTTCGATGTGGCTACATATGTATACGGCGTCCTAGATGCCCCGTATGTAGACTCTACATTCAGGCATGGGCACGAGAGCGGCTCTGATGTCGGGCCTGTTTGGGAGCTGCTATTTGTTCTTACTTACGATTAGAGCTCTCTCGAAGTGGTGGGGATGCATTGTAGGGGCGACTGTGTTCAACAGAGAACGTCAGTCAAACATGGTTAGGCTGTGTGTGATCTCGAGAGTTTGGGGAGTGGGGATAGCCTCTCCGATGCTCGGTTCGATTCGCGCTCCCCTTTGAGCTCGCCGCCAAACTCCGGAGCGCAGGAGAGCGTTCTCGCTCCGCTTACTACTACTTGCAGTCTATGTCTGATGTATGTAGAGTAGGTCTGTCTAACTGCTAGAAGCAAAAGAGCCACTGCTCTCACTCTTATCGCTTCAGGCTTCCTCCACCATCCAGTAGTGTCAGTAGTGGGGCAGCGGTTTCTAGCAGCTAGGACTAGGAATACGCGTCAAATATTGGAAGAGTCGGGAAACCAACTGGAAGAGTGGGGGAGCCGAGCGCGAGCTGCGTGGTAGGGGAAGGAGCCACGAGTGGCCCGCGGGCCGCAGTTAGACAGGCCTGATGTAGAGTAAGCGCACCTACAGGATGTCCCAGCCCAACTGTTACAGAGCTCTTATTCTGTAACTATTAATGATACAAAAAATTGTTGATATGGAAATTACATGGTAAAATGGGGCCTATGTTTTGGCCGAAGTGAAAAATCTTTTGCATTATTAGTTTAAGAGATATGATGGTCAAATTTTGTTTTTTAAATGGAACTATATTTTTTTTCAGATCATGTAATAGTGCTTCTCAAGACAAATTCATTAAGGAGATCGGCACGGTTAATAGTAGCGCGTTGACATTACCGGCAAAAATGGGCCTAAACAGGGGTTTACGGAATTCGAGTATTCGTCCTTATATGAGAAGATTTGGGGGTGGGTGAGGGCTTATTCGAAAGAGGAAGGTCCAATGCAGTACGGTCAACTCATGTTTCAGTGGAGTTATGTTGATGTTTAGTAATATAAGCGTCCAAAGTAGAGGAAAAAATCGACAAAATGCAGTCGCGGAATCGAAGTATTTTTCGGCCACTAAAAGAGTGCTGTGATTGAAATCATGAGTTGACCGTACTGCATTGAACCTTCCTCTTTCGAATAAGCCCTCACTAACCCCCTAATCGTCTCATATAAGGTCGAATACTCGAATCCCGTAAACCCCCGTTCAGGCCCGTTTTTGCCGGTAATGTCAACGCGCTACTATTACCCATACCTTTGACTATATAAGTATGGACCGCCAATCATCCCCACTTTTCCTATCCTTGCAATGCTTTGCTATGTGAGGCACATCAGCCACGCTGTTTTTAATTAAACGGCAGAAAATGTAAACATTAAGTCAGGTTTGGCCGGTAAAGAAGGAATAATGAGGAGTCATATAGTACTGTTTTACCATTTTTTTATATGATCAAAATGTCTTAAAATTTAAATTCATGTAATAGACATATGTATGTACCCAGAAAGCCTTGCTGTTGTATTCTCAACATAAACTACAAATTAATGGACTTTAAAATGAAAGAAATAAGTAAATGTAGAATGCTATTGTATGTAACATATTTTACTATTTATAGTTATTCAAAGATATGAAATATATCAAAGTAAAATAGGTTCAAATTATTATTGGGACGCGGTACAATGCGATGTGGCGTCAGCAAGCAACTACACGTACAATTTTGGCTAGCGAGTACTACAAGCCGCCACTTGATCAAACGCAGCGCTGCTGATCCGCATTACATACACACAACCATAACTGGCGGTCCATACTTATACAGGGTGTCCCAGAACTGGGGTAGGAACGGAAGAGGGATGATTGGTGAGGTCATTCTAAACAACTTTTTCCTTTGCCAAAATGTTGGTTAAGGCTTCGTTTTCGAGTTATTAACGAAAAACACTGGCCAATCAGAGCGCGCGGGCCGGACCACGAGAATGTTTGGTATGTTCCGCGCGGTCGTGATCAAGTGCCTCGGCACTACGTCGGTATGATGGGATTCGTTGAGTAGAAGTTGCATCGGATAATGAATAAAAAAAAGAAAAGAATAATTGTATCGAATTATTGATTACTCATGAACAACGAATCCTATTACACCGACGTGGTGCCGATGCACTTGATCACGACCGCGCGGAACATACCCAACACTCTCGTGGTTCGGCCCGCGCTAACGGCGCGTTCTGATTGGCCAGTGTTTTTCGATAATAACTCGAAAACGAAGCCTTAACCAACATTTTGGCAAAGGAAAAAGTTGTTTAGAATGACCTCACCAATCATCCCTCTTCCGTTCCTACCCCAGTTCTGGGACACCCTGTATAGTCAAAGATGTATACACTCGATTTTAATTAGTTTTCAAGATATAACGTTTACAAATTTCCCGGTTTTCAGTAAACCTCGTATTTACTTGAGCATTTTTGTCCGAACGAATGTTTTCGGCGCACGAACGTTCATTCGGGTTTCTTCGTTCTCTCGAGCATTACAATCCTGCTCCGGCTGTTCGCGCAACCTTTCTACCTGGGGTGTCGTAAACCAGTCGAAGTTAGAATGTCGTCAGGAACAGACGTCACGATCGCCAGTGCAGCATATGTTGTTATGCATACAATAATAAAAAGAAGAAAAAGAAGAAGAAATCAAGATAGACGATGGTGGATTACCCAGCTGTATAAAAATAGAGCAACCTCTAGTGGTGGAAGTCTACTTAGCGATTTACAGCTAGAAACTGGCGGACATTTCAAAAATTTCGTGCGGATGTTATCGGAAGACTTTGAATTTTTGATAAACGCTATCGGTCCCAAAATACAGAAAAACGACACTAGATTGAGAAAAGCTGTGACGACGAAAGAGCGATTAGCTATAACGCTACGTTTTTTAGCAACTGGAGATTCATATACGAGTCTTCAGTATCTCTTTAAAGTGTCAAAACAATTAATATCAAAAATTGTTCCGGAAGTATGTCAAGCGCTTGTTGAAATTTTAAAAGAACGTATAAAGGTAAGTGTACATATTTAAAAATACATACTTATTTATTAATTTATTTAGTATATACATAGACTTACTAAATAACACATCTTTAATGATAAATAATAAATTACAAATCTTTTTCGGCATTTAAAATATTAATGATCGCAGTCAGAATAGCTGAAGCCGGTTTCCTACGGAAATTCCTTGGCATTTCATGATTTTGGAAATGCTGAATGGAGGGAGTGTGATAATGCTGAGTTGATGCAGCTACATACGTCATACATCCCCATATCCGCCTCGAATAAAATTTTGTTAATAGCGTGCTCCACTTGAGCACGTGTGCGAATGCTATAGCTTCGGAGCTTATTGGCAATATGTTTCGTACATATTAGTCTCGCACTCGTCCGGTTGCCCCTTTGGGTCGTGCATGAACTGCGCCGATTACTTTATGGCGGGGGCCATAAAAGACCCGCACGAAGGTCCGGTACTGTATACCTGGAAGTCAGACAGAGCTCTGCAGAGCCGAAAAATAATTTAATATTAATATTTTTTCACTGACTAAAGCCATTCAGGCTTTTCTTTATTAATACTTTTTCACTGACTAAAGCCATTTAGGCCTTTTTTTATTAGTACTTTTTCGTTAACTAATCTAACTTAACCTCACCATACCTTTTTCTATTTAATCGAAACTAAAAGAAAGCTCCCGCTACTGATCGAACGGGTTAAAGGTTGAATTAAGCAATCCGCGCAGGATGAGTCTAGCTGACTCCTCAGCATGCATGCGCTACTTTCCAACCCAGGTACAGTAAAAGCTGGATATATGCAACAAACATTGGGACTCAGACGTTGCATATATCCAGCCGAGGTGTCGATTCTAGGCATTTAAACGTTGCATATATCCGGCCGAGGTGTCGATTCTGGGCATTTAATGTTTCATATATCCAGCCGAGGTGTCGATTCTGGGCATTTAAACGTTGCATATATCCAGTCGAGGTGTCGACTCTGCGTCCGTACACATCGTTTGTATTCAGCTGCGATATCTATTCTACGTTCGTACACAACATGGGACGTGTTGCATGTTGCATATTGCGTGTTTGATGCATCTTTGGTGTACGGCCTGCCTTATGTTTGGTATCATTTTAATCAGAAAAATCTCACAAATGTGTTAGTAAAAGTTTCATTAAGAAAAAGTTAAAAATAAAAAAGTTTTATCGTTCAATTAGTATTAGTCACACCGATATTACGGTCGGATCATATTACACGGTTTCCTCGTCGAGCGGCTCGGTTCGCCTAGGGCAGGCCTGTCCAAGTAGGGGAATTCACTCCTGGAACACATGTTTTGGGTCCCCTTCCAACGCTGCTCCTTCAAGTAAGATGGGACGGTTCCGACTACCGTCTCTCCGTCTTTCCTAGCGGCGGTATTGTCTCCTCGGTCCCATCTTACTTGAAGGAGCAGCGTTGGAAGGGGACCCAAAACATGTGTTCCAGGAGTGAATTCCCCCACTTGGACAGGCCTGGCCTAGGGGTATCCCCCCAAGTGGAGGGGATAGCGATGTTGCATATATCCAGCTTTTACTGTATACAGTACCCGACCTTCGTGCGGGTCCTTTATGGCCTCCGCCATAAAGTAATCGGCGCAGTTCGAGGCCCACCCTTCGCTACTGATTGTTTTAAAATCTTGAATACCTCCTCTAATATCTCTTCATCCCTTTTTTCGAAAGCTCGGTTACGACGTTTCGGAGGCACACGAGTAACAATTTCACTCGTATCCGTATTTTCGATCGGGTTCTTGTACGGTATGGGCTGTTTTGCATTATTTTCCTCATTGCAGTTTTTTTACAAATTTAATTTGTTACATTACTTTTAAACATTTATGTGTTTGAAACAAATGTTTATTTTTATTTTTATTTTTTCAGATGCCATCAACGCCAAATGATTGGTTGGCAATTTCGCAAAAATTTGAAGACTTATGGAATTTCCCACATTGCATAGGATCAATGGGTGGAAAGCACGTGGTACTGCAGGCACCTGCCAACAATGGGAGCGAGTTTTACGATTATAAATCGCAATTCAGTAGTGTCTTATTTGCCTTAGTTGATGCTGATTATAATTTCATGTATGTGGATGTAGGATGTCAAGGTCGAATTTCGGACGGCGAAGTTTCTAAAAATTGCGAATTATCGAAAAAAATATGTACAAACACTTTGGGGTTGCCAGAAAAATCGGTCTTGCCAAATAGGACCAAAGAAATACCATACGTATTTCTTGGTGACGAGACATTTGCTCTAAGCGAAAATTTAATGATACCTTTCTCTGGTGCTTATAATGAGAAATCAGCCGAAAGGATTTTTAACTATCGACTCAGCAGAGCTCGACGAGTAGTTGAAAATGTGTTTGGAATTTCTTCGGCAGTATTTCGAGTATTGAGAAAACCAATGTTATTAGAGCCGGGAAAAGTGCAATTAATTGTACTGACGGTGGCGTATCTGCATAATTTTTTAAGGAGAAATGATAATTCGCGTTCATTATACTCTCCTGTAGGGACTTTTGACTCAGAACAAAATGGAGTATTCGTCGAAGGTAATTGGAGACAAGAAACAAATCCAAGTTCACTAATTTCAATAACAAACATTCCTCGGAGATCACTACTAACAAGTGCTCAAGAAATTCGCGACGAGTTTAAAGAGTACTTTATTACTAATGGGCGTTTAGAATGGCAAGACGAATATGCATAAATTTTATAAATTGTACTATTTTTTACTTACCTGCTCCCTGTCTAACGTTGCTCGCGATTCGTCTTTGTCTAATAAATAAAGCATTCGCTCGAAAGCGAACCACTTTGACGTGTACATATCCTTAAAAGCTGTCAATAAAAAATTACTTTGTATTGATTGTAATTATATACAATATTTCCACCTGATTGAACATAGAATAAATAAATACCTTTTCCCGTTCCAATACACCTTGCACCCTTTGCTTTTTCCCGGCGAAAAGACGCTAGCAAACTATTCATTTTTTGTTTCACTTGACTGCTTTGGACTCCCACAACTTTAGCAATAGCTTCCCACGCGTCATTTTCTTATTTCGCAAATAATGAAATTCGTCTTTCGGATTACACAGCACTGGGTACTTTTCATATTCGTCAATGAGACGAAGTGTCATTTTATTTGTCCATTCCATGCCGACCTTCCTCAACAGAGCTCGTATCGACCACTGGCTACTCTCGCGTCGCTTGTCACAAAACAAGTGCAGGAATGCGAGTCAATTGCTGATTTATTTACCCGAGTTTCCAGTTCTTTCCTTTCATTTCTTCGGCCGCACATGGTTGTATGTGCAGGGTGTAAAAAAACGAAGTGTTACGGACCACGTGGGGTGATTCTACACCTCTGGATCAGTGGAGATCTTTTTATTCCCTCGATGAGCACTATACGATAAGTCAATACAAAAATTTGACCTTGAAATTAGGGGTCAAGGTCAATTTTGCGGTCACTTTTTTTTACAGATCTCTACCAATCCAGCGGTGTAGAATCACCCTACGTGGTCCGTGACACTTCGTTTTTTTACACCCTGTACTACCAGAAACCCGTCCACATTGAGCGCTTGTCCGCACGAACATCCTTTGATGGACCAACAGCCGTCGGAAAGTGTTCGTTCGTGCTCGAGGCATTCGCGAACACATTAACCGTACTCACTAGAGCAGGGGTAGTCAACATTTTTATACCTACCGCCCACTTTTATATCTCTGTTAGTAGTCAAAGGGTATAGCCGGATAAGATGGTCAAAAGTACCCCCAAATCAAATTCGACTTGCTATGAACCACTCGATAGGTGATAAAAAAAAACCAGTCTGTGCCAAGTTTCAACCCTGTATCTCATCTGGGAGGGTAGTTACGGGTAAAAATGTAATTGCGAGGTTTTTGGCCAATTTCTCCCATTTAGTGACATTCGAAAAAACTGAAAAAAATTGAGGATGATAGTATCAATAATATACACTTATAAAAAAAATATGATCGTAGGACCTCATCTCCTTCAATACAAAATCGCCATTTTTCAGCATTTTTTACGGCTTCAGTTTTCAATCTACAAATCTAAAAAAATTCTGTAATATGTGCCTCACAAATGGAAATATCTTTGATTTTTTTCAGAATTTTCGAATGTCATTAAATGGGGAGAAATTGGCCAAAAATTTCGCAATTACATTTTTACCCGTAACTACCCTCCCAGATGAGATACCGGATTGAAACTTGGCACAGACTGGTTTTTTTTTATCACCTATCGAATGGTTCATAGCAAATTGAATTTGGTTGGGGGGCACTTTTGACCATCTTATCCGACTATACCCTTTCGGCTAAGCTACATAGTCCACTACTAATCGCAGCGCCACTTGGTTGATCCGCTTTTATATCATTCGTGATGACGTAGCTTCATAATGATAATATACCTACCCCGAAACTACGTAGTAGGATTGCATTATTTTGCGTTTTAATTTGTGAATCGTTATAAAATATAAACACTAAAGAATTTTATGAAAACCTAATGAAAATGTTTTTAAATAATGCTATGAAAATTTTTTAAACGATACATTAAAAAATTTCCATTTCAATGTTTTTAAAAAGTACAGTATCGGACAAAACCCCTACCGCCTACCATGATAGCTGGAACGCCCACTAGTGGGCGGTAGGGACCAGGTTGACTATCACTGCACTAGAGCATTCGTGCGCCGAAATAGGGCCGCTTTTGCGACTCGCCACTCAAACCGAGACGTATCTACTGAAATTCGGGAAGTTTGTAAACGTTATATTTTCAATCAAACGTATACATTAAAGCTTAATAATAAATTCGTCTTGAGAAGCGCTATTACATGATCTGAAAAAAAATATATAGTTCCATTTAAAAAACAAATCTTGACCATCATATCACTTAAACTAATAATGCAAAAGATTTCTCACTTCGGCCAAAACATAGACCCCATTTTACCATGCAATTTCCATATCAACAATTTTTTGTATCATTAATAGTTACGGAATAAGAGCTCTGTTACAGTTGGGCTGGGACACCCTATATAATGCGGTGCTCTGATAACGCGGTACGAATGAATCGCATTATAGGAGGGTTGACTGTACTGGCATTTTTTGTGATTAAAGATTGAGCTGTTATTTTGCTGGGCGGCAAAGTAAGACAGGCACGCGTGTGTAAGTAAAGGTTGTCCGTGTGAGCGAGGGGTGATCCTAACGTGCATTAACAAAGGAGCTATTAAGCGGACGAGCATTATGCTTTGAATAGCATTAAGGGTCAACAAAAACCACAAATCAAGTCGAAATTAATCTTAGGGGTCCCATGCGCGGAGAAACTGAGAAACTCCGGATGACCCTTGTTTCTCTTGCATAGAGAGAAAAGGACAGATAGACAAACAGCCATGTTAATATAAAACGGTGCAAATTTAACGATTTCGTAGTTCGAAGATTTTGAAGCGAAGAAGCAATATTTTCTTACGATTTCTTTTTTATTTAAAATATACTTTGTACAATTACACAGCAGTGCATAGAGCCCAATATAATAATTTGGCTTTTAACCTCACAAAAAATGTTTATTTGTAGAAGAAATTTGTTCACAGTTTTTCCCAAAAAGGACTCTGTCCTGCGTCTGATATATTCTACATAAATATGAATATCATAATTATTACACATTTCTTTCGGAATGAAGTCTGAAAAATGTGAATTACTTTTTCGTGTTTTACTGTTACTTCGTTGGAGGTGTTAGTGTCACTCCTGCTGACCCTTAATAATTCAACCCTTTCAACACAGCACTGTTCTCATTTATGTAACTAATTTTTACTCTTGAACTATTATTGTAATGTAAAATGAAAATGGATTGTATAAGTACTGTTATTGTTTTTGTTTTTTTTTCTTCCTATGCGCAAAAGGGGATGACATGTATCCTAATAGTGTATTACGGTAGTTATTTTCATCCCAACAGTGCATTACAGCAGGATCATTTTTAAATTTTATGGAATTTGTGATAAAATTGAACTCAAGAAAAATTTTCAGTTATTTTGGACATAAAGACACTTAATACTGTTGAAAGGGTTAAGATAATAAGGTTGAAATTAAAAATTTGAAAATTAATTATTCTAATTCCTAATAATTAGTTTCAATATGTTCTATAACAAAAATCCATGCTTACTATGACAGTCAACATGTTAATATTTTTTCACCGAAAATTCAAAAGCTCATATTCTTAATTAAAATGGCGACGGCCGGTAAGCGATATCCTCCACAAAATTAAGAGGACAATCGAAAATAATACTTTTTGTTTATACATTATTTATACTTTATGTACAGTAGCGCACCACTCAGTATTTTTAAGAGCAATACATAGAATGAAAAAGAATTTATTATTTAACCCTCGGATGGTGAACCACTGAGGAAGCGATATTTATTTCATTTTCTAAATTCTATAGAATTTCTATAAATGTTATTTTCAAATGTAACCTAACATTTTCTTTTAAAAATTCATATGCCTAGTATTATTCAAAATACCATTGTATACCTTTCGTAACTCTAGGTCAAAGTTGACTCACCTCCACTGTTCGAGGATTAAATAACAAATGTATAAAATCTATCACCTAATCTTTCAGACAAACGAATGACAAATAAGTATTTTAACAAATTAAAATACTACAACTGTTAAAATACTACAAGTTAAAAGTTTACCAACTAATAGAAAATTGTATTATGTTACATTTTCTATATTCGTTTTCATCAGAAATTGTTTATATTTGCAAAGTATATTGTTACTATCGATGAAATAGATCTTAAGGGCTAACAGAAGTGGCGGCAAATTTTGAATTGATTCTGGAGGCTTTGTTTGAAAAAATTGTAAAATTCAAGATTCTTAAATTTAGCGATTTCGTAGTTCAAAGATTCTAAGGCAAAAGAACAATATTTTTCTATGATTCTTTTTAAAAAATATTCTTTATACAATTACACAGCTCCGTGCAGAGCTCGATTTTCCAATTCGGCTTTTAAAACCTTACAAAAATGTTTTTATAGAAGAAATTCTTTTATAGTATTTTCCAAAAACAACTCTGTACGTCGATGGGTATATTTCTCCTGAATATGAATTTTATAATTATTATGCATTTTTCTTAAAACTGGGTCTGGAAACCTTGAATTACTTTTTCGCATTCCGCTTCTACTCCGCTAGGAATAGGACTATCACTCCTGTTGACCCTTAAAGACATAATTATCCTTAATGAAGACAAATTTTTAAAGGTTTGTTAAGCGATGGATGTTTAAATAATAAAAGTGTTTAGCTTGATGCGTTTTTCTTCGAAATGGAAGTTTTAGTACAGCAGTTTACAAGAGCCGTTGCTCAATTGTGTTAGTGGAAACGACATGGTTAAGATTTTTAACAGGTTCGAGCCCCTAAATAACTTATACCTCAGCAGAAATAAGGCGAAGTCGTAAATTAAATAATTAAAAAGCATCAAGGACTCGTGTTGTTTCTGAGCATCGCAACATCAATATTGGTGCCGATGCTATTCGTCGATAAAATTTCATGTATTTTCATTCCACGACTTATTAAAGATCGCCATCTTTTGCAGTATGAGTAAATCTACCCAAGCGGGCTCGAATATGTTAAGCAAATATTTGCAGCTTGCATTATGAATACAAAATAACCCAGTGAATATAAGTGTTGTGAGAAAAAAAATAAACTATACTGTATCTGATGCTGACAACATAAGGAAATATTTAAAATAACAATTAAGCAACCATGTGAACAAAATATTTCTATAAGTTAACCGATAGAAAAAATGAAATGCGAATAACGAATGTTCGTGATATTCCCTACTCTACTTTTATTATGTTTTTCAAGATGAAATCGATTGATTTGTTAAAAAATTTCGTGAGAATTATGTGTATATTTTAGGAAGGCGTATCCGTAGTGGATCAATCGAGGATGCTCTAAAACGACGAGAAAAAGAGGTAACTTTTATTTTTACGAATATTCTTTGGTACTCATACCAAAGAACATCCAAATACATAATAGGTACACATATACAATTCCGTACAAAGGTGAAAAAGAGAAAGAGATGATGTTCGATGTTTTTCAAGGAAAACAAAAGATGAGAATAAAGAACTTATAAGTGACACAATAGTGCTGTAGCTGAGAGAAGAAAAACGGTTATAGTTTCTATTTTGAAGATTATATTTTTTTAACTTTATTAATTTTTGACTTCCACATACATATATTTATATATACATATCATTGTATATATGTATTCGCATACTTATTATACACGTATAAATATAAATCTATATACATAAATTATAAATGTTATTAAGTAGATAATGAAATATTGTGTGTGTGTATATACAGAATATACTGAAAATCGAAGTGTAAGCAAAAAGGAAGAGATTCTTTGTACAAAAGCACTTAAATAAAAAATGTAGGATTTTTTTTCAAGGCCTAATTTAGGAGAAAATTGGTTATTAAGTTGCGTGAAATAATGACAGTAGGCTGTCAAGGCACATATAAAGAAGCCTACGTTGCAATGCAGATATTCATACACAGTAATTCTTAAGTAAGGGGGCGAATGGTGAAGCGTTCTTCCCCTGCACCAGGCATGAGCGTATCGTGGCTGGGGAGTAGCATTGCGATAATCGGAGATATGAAAAGGGACGCGTGACGTCATAAAATATTCCGTTTTGTTCCGTGACTAGTGCGCACCAAGCGGGGATAAATGGTACTAAGGATTTTAGTTAGCATTAGTATGTGCACACATGCTTCACAGTATGAAAGT